ATTATTCTATCTTAATTGTCCTAACATTGTTACGTTTGATGTCGAATAAATAAACTTGGACATTAAAAATATCTTATATAAGATGATAAAATGTCAATATTTGTTATTACCACATTAAAGTCTCCAAGTTTTAAAGGGAGAGAGATTATCCTCAGGCAGCCAAATTTTGCAGAAGCGTATAATGTCTTATTTGTTTGTTTAACGGTTTTCAGTTTTTTTTGTTTGAGTTAGTATATAATTTACAGTTGTTAAATCTGAATTAAATGAATTAAATCCTACCTTGTTATACTGAGTTTTGTCGTTAATTGCAGTAACTATTTGATTGAAGATGTCCAAACACTACATGTAGCCTACACAAGAATACTGTGTGTAAAATGTGTACTGTTTCGTGTTTTATTTTTAAAGTGGCACAATTACAAGTGTTTAAAACAACTAAAAAGTAATAAAGAGATTCAAAAATACAATAAATTCATTACGATGTCATTGATAGAATTTAAATAACTCTACAATTTGCGTAAAAGTACATTTTCATGTGTTATTCTCTCTATGACACTGTTGCCCGACTCCAGCCTTGGTCTCTTTCGACCTTTGCCTCCAATTTTCCCCTGTCTCTGGCATTTCTCTTCCACTTTGTACCCCCGATCATCTCCTTAGCGTCCAGGCCAACTGCATCCTCTTATTTTGTTCCTGGACGCCCTCTTGGTCTTGCTTCTTGTTTCAGGCCGTGTGAAATCTGAAAGAGATCTGTTAGTTGGCCTCAATACAGAGTGTGGCAAATGTCTGGAATATAGCCAATAACTTCGCCATTTGTGGTTTTAGAGAAAAATGTTTCAAATACAAGTTTCTTTATTAACCATGGCGCATTTTTTGACGATATTTGCTTGTTTGCATTGTTTTTTGTTTCGTTGCTATGACAACCAACATTGTTAGTTTAAATGGGATGCATATATTTTTTTTGCATACTTTGATAGAGCATAAGTCTCTCTATGCGATGAACATATCAAATCATATGGTTGTATAAGAAAAAAATCGAAAGAAAATGCGTTTTTTGAAAGTATTAAATCAGCTAATTACAATCAAAGTAGGCGCCGAAATAACGCCGTTGACAGCTTTAAATGTCAAAAAAATTACAGCTTCAACAATTATGAATAATTAATAATATATGGTCATTGGTGGCCATCAACTTTTTGGAAGGTTTTTAACACTTTCGTTAAACGGTGTTAAAGAATTTTTTTAATATTTTCCATACTGTGGATTGTGTAATTTGTGTATCGTATCCGGGTAAATATTATTGAACAGTGTACAAACTTCACTTTGAGTGCGTTTTCTATCACCGTACTCATACATTATTAATTATTAATATTTGAATCTTTGTCGTTCGCTTAATTGCGCCAACTTAAAGCTGTCAATGGCGTTATTTCGACGCCTACTTTGATTGTAATTTGCTGATTTAATATTTTCGGAGAACGAATTTTTTCTCGATTTTTTTACTTATACAACCAATATGATTTGATATGTTCATCGCGTAGAGAGATTTATTCTTTATTAAAATGTGCAAAAAAAACATGCATCTCATTTAAAACGACAATGTTGGTTGCCATAACAACGAAACAAAGAACAATGCAAACAAGCAATTATCGTCAAAAAAATGCGCAACAATTAATAAAGAATTTTTTATTTGAAACATTTTTCTTTAAAACCACAAATGGCGAAGTTCTTGGCTATATTGCACACATTTGACACACCCTGTATAACCGTAGCAGTTTTGCTGAGATTTCATCGTATTTCAGGATCTTGTAGAGTTGTTGATTCTATTGGTAGAATCATACGCCATATCTGAAATCTACAAATATATTATACACGTCGACGTCATATTCCTAGGCATTATTTAATATTTCTTTAACGGTCATTATTTGGTGGATGGCGGATTTTCCTTTTCTAAAAGCCGCCTGGTATACACCTATGATATTCTCAGCAAAGGGTTGTGTCTTTGGTTCGAAATATGTGTGAACACTTTGTACACCGTGCACAGGAGCGAAATGCCGCGATAGTTCCAACTCCCGTATCCCTCGTCTGTAGATTTTGTACCTTTCTCTTCTTGCTTCCTTGAATAATTTCTCCCTTTCTCGCGTTGGCCTAGCCATACATTTTTTATGTTTTTCATTTCTTCTTGCAATACTCAGCACAGCCGTTATCAAACCAGGGCTCCCTTTTTGGGACTTCAACTATTTTTAATATCTCCCCACTCTGTCTCTTCCATATATGTCTTAATATTATTCCTCTGGTCATCAATCGTCTGACCTATCACCGCGAGAACGTTTCTTTATCTTTACTTCTATTTCCACCTTCAATCTGCATTATATTTCCAATGTTTTCCAGTTTTTTAAGATCCAGCTTTCTATCTTTATGTCTTTTTTGTAGGGTTTTGTTGTTCATTTTACACCTCAACTTTGTCTACGTCTAGAGATGGTACGCTCCGCAGCAGGCTCCTCCTTCACGTCTACGATACTTGATGCAAATCTTTTATTATTAACACATGGTGTACTTGGTTTTTGGCGTCGTCGATTCATTTGGTGTTGGCGGCATCTCGTTTTATGACCTCGATTTAAAATCCGTTATCTTATCGCGAGGAACCATAGGCGCTATGAACGCAAAATGAATGAGAGAGACAACTTAATTTACCACCAATAACAGCAATATCTTGCTCCCTCGCAACAATATGGCGTCAGATTTGGCGAGATACCTCCAGTGTGACTTCTGGTTATTCTATGGTGATACCGTCTGGTAAGATCCATGTCACTTTATGTATATTCCGGTGTAAGAAGCATGTTGAGCTGATAACCATGTTCCTTCATACTACAAATTTAATCATAAATTCACCGTTTTCGTTAGTCTCATCATGTAAGCTGTATTTTCATATGTTGCCCAAATATTTGACCTCTTTGCCAGTGTTCGTATTCATGTCCCAAGTACTATTTTAATGTCAGCTCTAGGTATTGTATCGTACACCTGTTCTACTTGTTGATAAAATATCTCTTTATTTCCTGCTCTTCCATTGGCTAGGTACATTTATAATTGTTACATTGCAAAACCTTGTATGTACTCTTAATTTGCAGTTTTTCGCTTATAGGTTGAAAGTCCTGATAGTGAGCATGTTCGATTTAATTTTTTTATCCACTATAAACGCTACTCCTAGTTCCCTTGGTTTTTGTATCCTTTATACCTTCGCCCAGCCATCTGGTTTCTTGTGGGGTTGTGATTGCTAGGTTATATTTCTTTATTTCATTAAGCAGGCCTATTTACGCTGCTGGCTTGTTCAGTGTCCTCACGTTCCATGTTTCATCTCAGTCATCGTTAATAAGACCGCCCAATCCGAAGCTTGGTAATCTGTCCTCCGCCTTTCGTTTTACATGGCCATATCATATAAGTTGGTTTCTCTCAATATCTTTCGCTATTGTCTCTTGTAACCCCATTTGTTCTTGTATCACTTCATTTCATACTCTTTCCATACGCCATAGTCTGGTAGACCTTCTCAGAGCATCCATTTCAGTTGCCTCTATGCGATTCTTATTTCAGGTTGTTGTCTCAATGTGTTATAGATGTTAAATTCTTTTTTTTGTTATCTCCGTATTTCACACAATTCCGTTTCAGGACTTTATAATGCTTTTTGATTGTATGATCCGATACCTAAATATTTGCATTCGTTACATAATTCATTGGCATTCTGTCTGCAAATTGAAGTGTATACACTGTTATGTTGTCTATTGGGATCCTCATTTCTTGGCATTTCTTCTTCCAGATATGCAACGCTCTTTTATGTAAATTTTTAACAGAGGGAACGAAATACAGCAGCCCTGGCACAATCATTTGTTGATCGGGAACGATTCCGATAATTTGTTACAAATTTTTACTTTAGATGTTGATTGGAAGTATAAGTTTTGTAAGGCCCTTATTAGAGTATGGCTTTTATTTGAGCACCTACTGTAGTATAATTTGAGCAGATCTTCTTATGCCCTTTCTAGTGGATTGACAATCTATAGACTACTTTCCATTGTTCTGGAACTTCTTCTCCGTTCAAGCACTGATCAAATAATTTTATTATAATTTCAAATAATTTTTCAATTTTAATAAATTTTGTTATTACATGCTAAAGCTGCAGAAACGATATTTACTTGGTTTTTCAGAAAACAAATAAGCTTTTATATTGAAATAGGCATTACTTTAAACCAATATTGTAGCGATTGTAGGTTATGTGGGGATATGTCGTTTTAACTGTTGGATGCAAATTTTAAAATCCTGTTCAACGGTATAAAAAGCCAAGTAAAAAGTAACTATTTTGGCGTTTATGCTGTTTTGACTTGTCAGCAACGACGTACTTTATTAATACACTTTTGTTCGATGACAAACTTGAATTAGTACAATCTTTTTGATAAAACAACTTGATTTACTGATAAAGAAGTGTTTGCACAATTCATTCACTTCCTATCATAAAACACGAAATCCTTAATTCAATATTGAAAGTTTGTTTTGAACTATAATGGTAGTAGAAAAATAGTTAAAAAAAGTCAGGACTGAAGGTTTGTTGTAATTTTCGATAAATGTTTTGAATTAAATTTGAGTTGTTTTTCTTTTCAATTTATTTCAAGGTAACATGAAAATTGTCCATCACTTTATTTCCAATACTAATTTATGATTCTCCTAACTGGAAAATAATGTAAAAATGTCAAAGCAAAGAAAAAATTACTTTATTTAAAACGAACACATACTTCTCATATCTACAAATAGAAAATAATCATTTCATTCTTACTCAATATTGAATAATGAGTCTAGTTTCTGTATAATTACTAAATTAGTAGGCGTTTTTACAGTTGTTCATTTTCAATTGCACTATAAAAATTACAAACACGTTCATTTCTGGGTTTATTCCATTATCACAACGCTTGTTAGATACTACTACATAAAAGAGAAACATAATAACCGGTTTAATTATTTTATTATAGAGTCCAACGTTACAAGAGCACAACCGCGTTCGAGGGATGATAAAAAAGTCACCGAAAGCAATAAGCAAAAAACAACGAGCGGATCAGAAGAAAATATGGATACGTCGAAGGGTTCTGAAGATGTTTACGAATTTAAATCCGTAAAAGAAACTGAATCTTCGCCCGACAGAAAAAGTAACGAACCCGCTGATATGGAAAATGACGATGCGGAAACCGCTAATCAATCCACAACACAATCGGAGGACAATAAAAGATCGTTTTCGGAAGTTTCTGAAAACCAAGATGAAGCTACAAACGATGAAGAGTTTCGTAGAAAGAAACGTAAAGACGAATCAGGAAAAGAACAGAAAACGTCTACTCCTCAACGGTCTGGTGGTCAGGGGAAATCGGCTTCCGGAAAACAAACAGGTGGGGCACAAGGGAAATCAAGTGCTTTAACGGCGGTGAAAAATGCGGTTGAAAAGAAAAGTCCTTGTCCAAGTCCGAAACCGACGAGTACAAGTGATGCGGAAGTGGAGGATGGAAAGTCTGAAGGGAATCTTAAAGTTCCACCTTTAAAAATTGTTATTCCCCAAAGTTCTACGGCTGAACAAGAAACCGGGCAAAGTAGAAATGGTAAAAATAGTTCTCAACGTTCCCAAGCTTTACCATATGTTGTTCCAAGTTCGAATAATAGCGATAATGACAAAGAAAATTCTGGTAATTCAAGTCCTTCCGATGGTAATGGTAAAAATGACGAGAAAAAAGAGGCTTCAGGAAGTAATGGTGATGAGCAGGTAAAACTCCTAATTTTTTATCGATTTAAAAAACGTTAGATATTTTTTGAGTATGTTTAGCAATGTATTATTTTTTAATCATAGTCCAATATTAGATTACAATTTTTTGATAAGAATATCAATTAACACCACTTACATGATTGTGGTTTAAAAAAGCGTTGAGGCGATGGGGACACGTGATGATGTTTAAAAACACTTTAGGAGAAAATAAATTTTATTTTTAGATATTACTGCTCAATTTAAAATTAAACCAGTATGACAAATAGTGGTGTAGACATATGAATTTATACTTTAAAATTGCAATTATTTATTTTATTTACACAAACTTTACGATTTTATGTAATATAAAGTAACTTATTTTATTTAATCATTAATAATTAACAAAAAATAATAAATGCCATAAAAGCCTTCGTACTTATAAATAATAAATACACTTTAATTTCAACATGTGGCGGTCTTAGAGGATGGCGAACAGGACAATCGCCCGGGGCCTTGCACACTTTTTTATTTTATTCTTTGCCACTAATTATAACAATAAAATCAACTTGGTTAATTCATAATAAAGTATACAGGTAAACCATACAGTTATTGGATAGTTAAGAGCTTTTCTTAGATTGTTTCTTAAAAAATAGTAATATAACGGAAACGCAAATTGCGTTTCTTATTGTTCTTCCGCACGTTATGCACGAATGTAGTTACGTATATAATTTCGTAGAAAATGCTGAAAGCATCAATTACATTTTTAATTATTTATTGCAAAAAAATACAGTTATTGGACATTTATTATAGTCATTGGACGGCAATGTTATGTATTGGACATATGTTATATAAGATATATCTTTTTATGATTTTATCAGGTTTATGAAGCTTAATTACACATTTCATGCCTGGTATAAGAGGATTCATGGCAGAGGAATTAAAATTAGTGATGTTAAATTTATTTAAATAGGTGGAGTTTCATTTTATGAATTTCTTAAGTTTATTGTTATATTTAACCCTACAGTGAATACGTTGGGCCTGACAGGCCTATGGCTCATGTGTTTTTCTGTAACGTTTTAATCACGTATTTTCTGTAGGGTTAACAGTTGGAGTATTGTGAATCTCTGTAATGTTATTATTGGCAAAGAAATTAAGGGTTTTTTAATATAATCTGCCTTGTTCAACATAACAATGCCATAATTATTAAATTGTTATCAGTGACTTTTTTATTAAATTTAGAAATCTTATTAATAATACTTTTGTGAGCAAGTGTGTGTTTAACATTTGACTTATTATTATAGTAAAAATGATTTTTAGGAGTTCCGTCATATTCCTTAATTAGGGATTGATTATCAAAAAATATTTGTTTGATGGAGTGATATAATTGTGATTCCATTTTTATAGCAAAAGCGACTGCTTTAAGGTTATGGTGAAGAGAAAATTTAGTTCCGAAATTAAGGACATCGACATGTTATCTGTCTAATATGATAATATAATATATATTCTGAAACATTTATATGCAAAATGCGGTTCTCAACGTTGAATCTTTTGATAACAAAATTATGTTGTGCATTGTTGTTATTGCATTCAATCAGGGATGCGTCGCCCTCTATCTCTTCAAACCATTTCCTTAAACACGCAACTGCTTGCAGCGGTTACTCCTTCAGAGGTCCTAAATGTAATATCAGGCTAACGTTTCAAAAATCTTTTAAACCAACCGATTCCTGATTTGTTAATTCTAAAGGGATTTTTTTTGAGTTTTATTTCAGAAAGTTTTGAGCGCTCATTAATATATTATCTTTTTCCTAGGAAAACCTCTATTAGCTATCTCCTTTATCCAATTTACTAAACAAGTTTCCTCGTTTTTGGTTAAAACGGTACAAGGCCCAAAACTCTCATTATGTCCTGGATGTTTGACTTTGAAATCAAGGGTTTATTTGGGCATATTAAATTCGTTGGCAATATTTCTTAGAGAAGATTTACTTTTTTGCATTTCTTGAATGGCCAACAACACGTGTCTGAGATCATATGAGGAGCTTTTTTACAAAACCCAACAAGTCACACGAAATGTTTTTTGAGAAAACCAGAACAGTTTGTGACGATGTTATCCCAAATGTAATGATAGTATTTTCTTTTTTATATGTTAATTATTGCATTAGTCTTTTTAGACACAAATAATTACTCATGTAATATGCTTTATCGCTGAGAATTCCCGAAATAACGCTTAGATAAGTATGTTGCATTTTGAAACAAAAAATAAAAGCAATGATATAAGTGATCGTCGTCATCATGTTGTTCAGTAAAGGTAACATGATCCTTGAGAACATCAAAATAAAAATTTTATTTGTCGTCCCTTATCCAGTCTTCTCCAAAACGTTTCTTTAGTAGAACAGCCACAGCCTCCCCTTTATCCTGTAAAATTCTTCTTACAGAATCCAGTAATGGTAAATCGACAGCGTTTAACTCTTAAAGGCGTTTTACTAGTGTTACAAAAGTTTTTGAAGGATCTTCGAATCTGTAGTGCATCTCACATTTAAATTTAACTTGACTTGTTAAATTTCAACCTTTTTAAGAGTATCCAGCAATGATTTCATATCATAAGCTCGCCAATCTATTCCAAATATGTGCACTGTTTCAATTTTTTTGTAAATTTTGTGGTAATGTTCAGGTAAAAGAATTTTTGCATGTTTGCCTTCTTAACTCCTATTTAACACTTCCGAAGACCCTATCTGCTGGGAGATAGGAATTAGAGATGTGTAACACTGCGCTGCGCGGCGCAATTGAGTTAACTCAGTACAGTGTGTTACGTGCGCTGATACCCAATGTGGCAACCACCACAATTATAAATTAAATCATAAATGAATTCATCAAAATATACATCAGAATAACTAATTAACCAAAATTCATGACATTGTCAATTTAAAATAACCAAATTAATTTTATAAACATCAGTTGACAGTACTATACGTCAACAGATGCGTTTCTTTTTATATGCATTTCAAATGGTCTGTTGCTGAACCAATATTTATTTTCCTTTGTTGGAAATCGAAATATTGGTAATAAAAACNTGAGCAAGTGTGTGTTTAACATTTGACTTATTATTATAGTACATAGATAAGGGATAATAATATAGATTTGCCACTTAACGACATAAAACTGAACTGCCATAAGCGCCATCCGTTGAGGTGTTCTCCGCTAAGGGAAACTTTTAACGGGTATTTATTGTATTATAAATTTTTTTGGAATTCCATTTTTTTTTACAGAAAAGACATTGACACTTGAATTACTAATGATAATATACATATTATTGACATTGAAATACATTTCAATGTCTTTTGTGTGATACAACTAAAAATGTAACAGATTCCGAAAAAAATGTAGAGGAAGATGATGAAATAAACGTTGAAGACGAGGAATATAATACTTATTTCCTTATCTTGTAAATGTTATAAATAAGTTTGGTGTATAGATAATCGACTCTGCATTCTTGAAGTAGTTGCAAAACTGCCATCAACTCAATTTATATCAAATTTTATAAATACTTCTAAATACCCATCTTGGGTAAATACCCCCGGGTATATATCCAGAGTGTTGAAAATAAATACCCGGATATTTAACAACACTGACTAAAATACATACAATTTAATGGCAAATGTAGAGTTGGTACACTTGCAGGTTTTAAGTATGCATTTGTTGCTGTATCACTGCTTTGGAAATGCCTATAACAAACACGGTCCGATCTATAGATTATATCTAGTGAAAGATCTGTAAGTTTTGAATTTCCACATTTTAAAATCCACTCCTTACACAAATTCTCTTTCTTTTGTTGTGTCACGGGTTGCGTCCGTACATCCAAAAACGGCACAGGCGCGAGTCCTGTTAATACACCGATTCATTCTAAAAGTTAAATTAATTGCTAAGCTTGAAAGTTAGTAATGTTTATTATTTGAATTATTTCATAATATTTGCAAAGTCAAATTCAAATGTCAAATATATACATATACGTGTATGTGTGCGTGTTTTCAAGACTTCAGCGACATCCAGCGAATTGTTCTCCTTAAAAATACGACGGTTTTGTTTTGCCTATATTGGTGCCCACACCATGTTATAGATGTTATAGTAAAAATGATTTTTAGGAGTTCCGTCGTATTCCTTAATTAGGGATTGATTATCAAAAAATATTTGTTTGATGGAGTGATTGTGAAATTTAGTTCCGAAATTAAGGACATCGGCATGTTATCTATCTAATATGATAACATATTATACAGTGTCCGCCACAAAGTCAGCAACACCCGTTTTATAGGAAATCTCTTTTTCCTAGGAAAACCTCTATTAACTATCTCCTTTATCCAATATACTAAACAAGTTTTCTCGTTTTTGGTTTAAACGGCACAAGACTCAAAACTCTCTTTATGTCCTGGATGTTTGACTTTGAAATCAAGGGCAGATTACATTATTTGGGCAGATTACATTCGTTGGCAATATCTCTTAGAGAAGATTTACTTTTTTGCATTTCTTGAATGGCCAACAATGCGTGTCTGAGATCATATGAAGAGCTTTTTTACAAAACGCAACAAGTCACACGAAATTGTTTTTTGAGAACAGTTTGTGACGATATTATCCCAAATGTAATGATACTATTTTCTTTTTTATATCTTAGTTATTGCATTCGTCTTTTTAGACACAAATAATTACTCATGTAATATGCTTTATCGCTGAGAATTCCCAAAATGACGCTTGGATATGTTGCATTTTGAAACAAAAAAGTTGTAACTTTTTGCATTTTGAAAGCAAAATTTTGTTCCGCTATTTATTCTAGAAACCAAAAATTATCTTATGCTGTAAGAAAAAATCATTATTTTAAAATGACAACAACGGTACGTAACAAAACGTTAAGACAAGAGTTAATGTTTTGGTTCACAATCTTCTAAGCAATGATATAACTGATCGTCGTCATCATGTTGTTCAGTAAAGGTAAGGTGATCCTTGAGAACATCAAAATAAAAATTTTATTTATCGTCCCTTATCCAGTCTTCTCCAAAACGTTTCTTTAGTAGAGCATACACGGCCTTCCCTTTATCCTGTGAAATTCCTCTTACAGAATCCAGTAATGGTAAATCGACAGCGTTTAACTCTTTAAGGCGTTTTACTAGTGTTATAAAAGTTTTTCAAGGATCTTCGAATTTGTAGTGCATCTCACATTTAAATTTAACTTGACTTGTGTCCAATACAAGGACGTACATTGTAAACGTTATAGTTCGTAAATTTCTTGAATGAAAAAAGATGTTTTTTTTTTGTTCGTTTAGTCCTTCAACCTTTTTAAGAGTATCCAGCAATGATTTTACATCATAAGCTCGCCGATCTATTCCAAATATGTGTACTTTTCCAATTTTTCTTTGTAAATTTTGTGGTAATGTTCAGGTAAAAGAATTTTTGCATATTTGCCTTCTTAACTCCTATTTAACTCTTCCGAAGACCCTATCTGCTGGGAGTTAGTAATGGCCAGTCACTGGAAAAACTACTTCGATTTCTTTACGTTTCTTCAGTGCAATAGATTATATGGTTAATTTTATTTTGGCCACCACAGCCATCAGCAAAGAATCTGAAATGTTAAATTGCCGAACTAGTTGAATTCGAGCCTCTGCCGCATTGATACTCAACTCACATGTAAAAGTGAGGTGACAAGCTTTTCAAATTAACTATACAAATTGCATACATTCCAATCTGTAGTGAATAGAAACATCTTTGAATGCGAGTTGTTTCGGGAGTTGCTGAACCTGTACGCACAGTTTATGAACCTGCTAAACAAAATTATGCAGTACCTTCTTCTTCTTCCTTCATCATTAAGTGAAACTGTCTAGCTCTTACTCTATGTACTTTGAGATCGCTCAATGATTTATTTTTAACTTCTTAACACTTTGCTGATAATGCTTTTTGTTTGAGACGTTCGCAATAACTGCAAATGTCGGTTGCTGGTGAACCAAACCCTAAATTGAATTTAGTTGAAAATATTTTGTCCACACTTTCAATATACATGTTCAACATTTTATTTATGTTGAGCATAGAACTCAAGTATAACCCTTGTAACCTCTTGGACTTTGTCCTATTGTAATTGCTTTAGCATTTCATTTTTTCACCGATCTCCACCTCTATTTGCTCTGAACTCCGTGACAGCATTAATATTTTTTGCAATCCATAAGATTCTTCGATAGGACATCTTTAGAAGCTTTTCAAAAATAGTAGTACAGACCGAGAACGCTTGTTTGATTTGTGCAGATTTACAAGATTAGAAACGTTAAACAAACTAGTGTATAGGCATAATTAGATAATTTCTTACGTTGTATCTTATTTGAAAGTGGTGAGTTTTCTTGGTAATGGTTTAAGTTTTTGCGTTCACGATGTCTCTTTGGGTAATGCACTGCTAGTAAATGAGATAATCGTACATCCTGCTGTAGTTTATCGTTGTCGTTGTAAACTGTCTTTTTGGTGTTTATTAATATTTGTTTTCGAATATCATTGCATTGAATTTTTTTATTGGATGTACATACTTTTTGTCAATCCACCTTTCTAAGTGTAGGTCTGTTTGCTTAAATGAAATACACAATCGAAACGCACAAAAAGGGGTTAGCAGTAAGATTTACCTTTCTTTTTTCTTTTCTTACCTCGCTTTTCCTTTAATACGTTGCCATTTTCTACTCTCACTAATATTCCGTTCATTATTGTATACATATATAATACATTTATAATACAGATCGCTGTTCCTTATGAACCAGTTCGTCCTCTTATCACTGGTTTGATTATAAACAACACAAATTGCCAACAAGAGCGTGGCAAGCACATGGATTCTGCTGTAACTTTAGCCGTAACTCATATTATATGGACAAGGTGCAGCTTCATTCAGTAAACACTGTGGACATGTTACGTTTTGAAACTAACATTTGCTAACATTAATTTGACGTATACAATAACGAGAGTTGTATCGCTTTGACCAGAATTGACGATGTATAATATTCTACTGCCGACATAGCTCGTAATACCATCTATAAGCCATTTTTTTAAAATGCGGACAGCTTGCGTTTTGTAAAAAAGCTCCATGATCGCTATTTGAAAACGTTCATAGGTTAACGTTTGTAGGTGTTCGAGTGTTGTCCAATAACTATTTCAACTTATAATTTTATAATTATAGGTATTGGACACAGTGTCCAATGATTAAAATCCACACTGATTATAATATAGTTAGTGGACATTGGAACTGCTTACTATTTTAGATTAAAAACGTTATACTAAGTACGTTATGTCATTCTACGGACCATAAACTACATTTTGTACAATTTTGTAGTTGGATAATAATCATAACTTACCATGTTTCACAATCAACCTCGCAAAATAAGACAAGCCTTGTCAAAACCTTTAGCAAATGACTTGTAGTGGCACTGACGATGTTCAGGTTAACTAACATATCAACTTTATGTCATATTTCGGCAATACCATCGCCATCTCATAGTCTAGATATCAATCTACTACTGACAACCGACTGTGATGCATAAACCTGCGCAAAGTTTTTATTTAAAAAAATAAATCTGTGCTGTCCAATAATTGTACGGTTTACCCTATTGCCTACATAAAATTTCTCATTTATGTTTTATTCAATGTCAAATTCGTATAAAAAGTAAAAATAACGATATCAAATGCGATGATACATGATCGGCTTTCAGCCCTTGCTATTCTTTTAATTGAAAATGACGTAGCTCATCGTTAGATTATTGTGCAATAAAGATATTATATGATAGATATTATTTATTATAAAGATTCTAGTATTAGGAAAAGCTGCAAACATCATTTTTGAATACTTGATGTACCTTAATTTATCATTATTAATAATTTTTAATTATTAATAATTTTTAATTATTAATAATTTTTAATTATTAATTTATTTATTAATAACTTTTGCATTTCTCGTTAATTATCGAAACTACTTATTTTTAATTCATGTACCTTACACAAAGGACAAGGGCCTTGTAAAGATTTACCACCCAGAGACTCGCAATGGTTTCGCCACTGATTTCAACCCCTAAAAATGTTTAATATCAACTTAATTAGAATTATTTTTTTATTATTGATTTTATAGACCACGACCACAAATGAATTGGCAGAGGCAGCAACAACTTCAACATCAAATTCCAACTCGACCACTCCAGCTCCAACAGACATGCATCCAAGAAAGCGAAAAATGAAACCGAAAGAAGTTGCTGCTCCTGCTCAAGACACAGCAGATACACCCGCAGTTTCAGAGGCCCACGAAAGGCATCCTCACGAACAACCAATAACAAATTGTTACCAACTATTCTTAAATATTCGAAAGCAAGTATGTATTTATTTTAGATTTGTTTATTATATACTTATTTTTCTTTAATTTTAGATTGAAAAACGTCGTAAAGGTCTATTTCCAGTCCAACCAAAACCACCTCAAGGTTTCAAAGATTATTTAATGAACAGATGCACTTATGTTTTAAACGGTAATTCACCCACAACTCCCAACATAAATTACCCAGCCACATTGCAAGCTCAAATGAAAGATTTATACACAACTCAAGAAAAAGAAAGATACAAATTAAAAATGCAACACGTCATCGAAAAAGAGAAGCTTGTACTTTCTGTGGAACAAGAAATTTTAAGAGTGCATGGAAAAGCAGCAAGAGCTTTAGCAAATCAATCACTTCCATTTTCCGTGTGTACTATTCTCAGAGACCAAGAAGTTTATAATTTAATTACTCCCGAACAAGAAGAAAAAGATCGGAATGCGCGATCGAGGTATAATGGGCGATTATTTTTAAGTTGGTTACAAGACGTTGATGATAAATGGGAAAAAATTAAAGAACATATGTTGTTGAGGCATCATAATGAAGCTGAGTCATTGCATGCAGTTCAAAAAATGGATTGGGAATGGAAATTGAAAGAGTTAAGTTTATGTGACGCTAAAAGTACACCCACAATTGAGGAGTTACATGTGCCTATGGTTCATGTTAGTGACGATTTTGATTTATTACCAGCGTGAAATTTTTTTATGCTTTAAAAAAATGGATGGTTGCTTTATGTGCAATTTGTAAGATCTATTTCTTTATGTACTATGTACATATTGAGCTTTAAGATTTAAATTATTAATTAATAAATTTTCAAATTTTTATTTTTCATTTCTTACCCTCTTCGAACGATTTAAATGTCTCATTTTTCACATTCGGAATTTGAAACATTATTTTGTTTGATGTGATGACTTTCGTCAGTATTTTGTGATGACATAAATTTTAGTATTTGGATAAGTCTTTTAACAGACTATTCTTATAAAATCTTTAGTACTTGTGAAATGGTTAAGATTGATTTGGTGTCCTTTTTATGTTTTACTATAATGATAACTTTTAACCAATTGGTGTGATTCGATTGAATTGATTTTGGTTGTGATATATGAAACTCTTAACTCTTGAAAGTATTTTTATGACTTTTATATTTGCTTTCAAATTATTACACAGTTAACAATAGTATGTGCAATATTGATTTTTCTTTTTGGTATTCACAATTATACAATGAATTAAAAATTTCAAGACTATAAATCCATGTTTAATGATTATTAGGTGTTATAAAAGCTTTTGAGTGTTCATTCTTTTGAGTCGTGGATGCAGCTGACCTTTATTGTTCAGAGCTGGACTTATTAATGGAAGTTTTAATTCTGCTTATTTGTGCTAGCAAAAAATCCATCGTTTTTGATAAAGCAAAAAGGTTTCTCTCAAACGTTATTACTTATTACAAACGTAAACACAAAAGTTATTACTAACAAGAACCTGATTCATCTTGCATACGAGTTAAGAGGGCGCTGTAATGTCTCCAATCTTTTCGATATACATGCCCCAATTTGTACAATTATTTCTAAACAGTCTAGTCTGTGGATTATCAATAATGTAAAATTGATGATGTCGTTGCGTGACAAAGCTTTAAATAAATTCAAACGCACTAATCATGTAGCTCACTGGGACTATTATAAGCAATTGAGGAATTATTCGACTAATGTAATTAAGTGTGAAAAGAAAGTTTACTTAACTGAGGAAATCAGAATTGGGAGCACTCAAAAACCCAAAATAAAAAAAACCCTGCCTACCGACGAGTGTAAGAGATGTTGAAGCTTTGAATGAGTACTTTTCTTCGATTTCGGGACGGTCTGCGGAGGTCGACCCGGACGTGCACAACTTTTATGATAATAATGTCAGACCTGGTGTGAAAAGTTTCTTTTTCCAAAAAGTAAATGAATTTAAGATCAATATTATCTTGACGAGGATATCGAGTCAGGTGACAGGGATTGATGGTATAAGCCTTAGGATGTTGGGTTTCTGTTGTAATAATAATCTCTTTATTGGCTTTATGATTTATACAATTTACTATAATATATATATTGCTAAACTTAATTAATCCTTGACCAATTGGAACCGCCATCAGGATACAATTATATGCTCCCTGTTCTTCCTGGCGGTCCGGTAAAAATTATGAGCTAATCGAACAAAAAGCAAGAAAAAAAAACAAAGACAAAATTCACTAAGCAGAAAATAAAAAAAAAATAAAAAGAGGAAAGAACGACAAACCACTTACTTTAGTACTTTTAATCAAATAAAACTAAAATATCAATAAAAAGTAACAAAAACTCTGCACACACGTCCCTATCACACAGCGCTCTCTCTTTTGTGATAGCCTTCGCATCTCTGACCCGAGTCTTGTTGCTTGTAAAGCACATCACGCAACTTACGCTTAAAGGAGCAACACGATAACGCTTTAAGTTCAGACGGACATTCATTGTACAATTTTGAAACATTGTAGGAAAAGCATCGTTTGAATATTGCACATCTGTGCACCGGGATTGTGATAGTATTCTTATGTCTGATATTTATGTTATGAACATCCGTCCGAAATCGCATTTTTTCGTAAAGATATGGTGGGGTTCTGTTCAGAATTATTTTATGACATAAGCACAGGAAATGGAGTTTGCGCCGGTTCATCATATTAAGCCAACCACACATTCCCAAAGTGTGAGAAATTCGGTCATACTTACGCATTCCGTATATGAACCTTAAACAATTATTTTGCATTCGTTGAATTCTATATTTATCTACTTCCAACAGGTTGGGCCCATATACAACATCAGCATGCGTAAATATTGAGAGTATCAAACTATCGCACAAATTTACTTTAATATCTATTGGAAGGGTGTGGCGATGGGGATAAAGCGTTCTCAATATGCCATATGATTTTTGTAAACACGACGACACGTGTCTCTTAAATCTAAGCTGCCCGTCCAAGATGAGACCTAAATTCTTTGCTTCATCGCATACCAGCAATCTTTCCCCGTTCAGCACGACATTGCAATCATTAAGATTCATAGGTCCGAAAGTAATAATTTTTGATTTTGATGGGTTGAGAGTTAAAGACATCTTGTTAGAGTAGTTATAAATTGCTTTTAGATCGTTATTGAGTTTGAAACAAGCGGCGTCTATATCATTTTTCTCGAACGTTATATAGAGCTGTGTNATCCAAAGCGCTTGTCAGCAATATGGCCCATATCTTTATAGATGGAATTGAATTGGAGAGGAAGGTCTGTGTCAAGGATCTTGGTCTTTACATTGACGACAGCTTAAGGTTTACACGTAACACAAGTGAACTGATCAGGCGTGCTTACGCAAAATTGAAAATGCTGTTTGCTCATAGGCAAGTCTTGAACGCCGATATTAAAAAGAATCTTTGCGAGTCTGTAATTTTATCCAATTTTACATACTGTGACACAATTTACGGCCACTGCCTGTTGACTGCTGATGCGCGACGTATTCAGGTAGTTCAGAATTCTTGTATTCGTTTTATATTTGGTATACGCCGACGTCAGAGAGTATCATATAAGCTGGAGTTGAAGTGGCTGAATATGTCAAGTCGTCGTCAGTTACATTTTGATTGTTTTCTTTGTGAAGTTGGGTCAAGTAAGCTACCACCTTACTTCACCAACGAAATTACTTACAGAACGGACATTCATAATATTAATGTACGGCGTAAGGACCTCATTGACATTCCTCGTCATCGTACCCAATTATTTAAGAGGTCTTTTAGTTATAACGCAGCATGTGTTTTGAATAAGTACAGTCTGCTTTTTGCTCAACCATCGTTTCGTACTTTTAAAAGGTCCCTGTGTGACCTGTGTCTTAAATTGCTTAATGACTAGCGCGTCGTTCTAACATCAACTCGATGTTGTGTATATCTATATATACAGGGGTGTTAATAAACAAACTTTACACACGCTGGCAGGTGATAGTAGAGATAAAAACAAGAAAAAAATCCTAATACACATAGGTCCAATACTCATTGGTTTTCGAGATATGGAATTTTTAAATTTTCATTGTCAGCTTTAAATTTGAATGCGATATCGCGTTACCATTAACGCGATAAAACAACAGCCGCAGAAACTGCATGTCAATAAACATTTTGTGACTTATTCTTATTTAAGCTAGCTTATTTTCGCAATGGTTCAATTTACATTTGCNAGCACGACATTGCAATCATTAAGATTCATAGGTCCGAAAGTAATAATTTTTGATTTTGATGGGTTGAGAGTTAAAGACATCTTGTTAGAGTAGTTATAAATTGCTTTTAGATCGTTATTGAGTTTGAAACAAGCGGCGTCTATATCATTTTTCTCGAACGTTATATAGAGCTGTGTATTATCCGCGTACATGTGCAGGGAACAATGTTTGACTTGTTTGGGTAACTGTGAGGTATATAAGGAAAAAAGTAAAGCAGCCAAAATTGATCCCTGAGGCACGCCAGTTGTGATTGGTAACAGTTGCGAGTGGTGATCATCTACTTTAACCAACTGCTGACGATCAGATAAAAAGCTAGCGAATAGCTTGACGGCACATAACTCCCTACTTCCTGCATGTAATTAACTTTTGTTTAGACTTTGTGTCTTTCCTGAGAAATGGAAATCTGCCAAAGTGGTTCCTATACCTAAATCATCAACTGCTTCTTCTTTCTCGGATGTAAGGCCAATCAGTATTTTGAGTACTTTGTCGGGAATTTTGGAAAGGGTCGTGGCGGAACAAATACGTGAGCACTTGGAACGCTTTCATATTCTGCCCTCCATCCAATCAAGATTTAGGCCTGGATATAGTTGTGCAACCGCACTTTCGACAATAATTATTGATGATATTATGTCTGCAACGGACAATGGCGCGACTATTGTTTTGGTTTTACTTGACTTGTCTAAAGCGTTTGACACTATTAATCATCAACTTCTCTTAGCAATTCTTCATTATATTGGGTTCAATAATACAGCCTTAAATTTTTTTAATAATTATCGTGCGGGAGAAGTCAGTATGTAGTTAATGATGTGTCGAATCCAGCCGTATTGAGGTCTGGTGTGCCGCAGGGCTTTACATTGGGTCCCCTTTTCACTATCTATACGTCTCAAATGTTGATCTTTGATCGCTTCTGCTCAAAATTTCATATCTATGCGGATGACACACAACTTTACCACAGCTTTAACTCAAATGATATGCTAGAGTCTGTTGCAGATGTAAACAGTGATTTAGATAAATTTTTAAATATTACTAAAAAACATGGTCTTTTGTTAAAGGGGAATAAATCGGTCTGCATGGTATTCGGGGGTAGGGAATCCAAAGCGTTTGTCAGCAATATGGCCCATATCTTTATAGATAGAATTGAATTGGAGAGGAAGGTCTGTGTTAAGGATCTTGGAATTAAAAAAAATCTTCGTGAGTCTGTAATTTTATCCAATTTTACATACTGTGACACAATTTACGGCCACTGCCTGATGACTGCTGATGCGCGACGTATTCAGGTAGTTCAGAATTCTTGTATTCGTTTTATATTTGGTATACGCCGACGTCAGACAGTATCATATAAGCTGGAGTTGAAGTGGCTGAATATGTCAAGTCGTCGTCAGTTACATTTTGATTGTTTTCTTTGTAAAGTTGTGTCAAGTAAGCTACCACCTTACTTCACCAACGAAATTACTTACAGAACGAACATTCATAATACTAATGTACGGCGTAAGGACCTCATTGACATTCCTCGTCATCGTACCCAATTATTCAAGAGGTCTTTTAGTTATAATGCGGCATGTGTTTTGAATAAGTACAGTCTGCTTTTTGCTCAATCATCGTCTCGCGCTTTAAACGGTCTTTGCGTCTTAAATTGCTTAATGACTAGCGCCACGATAATTGTTGCAGTTTGAATTTAATTTTGATTTGTTATTACTTTATTTTGTTTTTTTTTATACATTTCCTTTTTTTTTTTCGTGTATGGGATTTCCAGGAAGACCAGGACGTCATAAATTGGCTTACTGATGGAAATACCCTTTGGCAAACTCTATACTTAGTAATTTTAATGCATTACTTATATTGTAGTATTCTTTTTTGCCAATAAACTATTATTATTATTATACATTTAGACGTGCAAAACTAAGTGCATTTTCAAGACTTTTTTTCATTAAGATGCAATTGATTTTCAACATTTAGTTAATTCACTGCTATTTATTGATGCCTTACACTATGCAAGAATATATTCACATTTTTCAAAATGGGCGAAAAGTAGAATCGTCTTGTGGAAGGATGCGGCGTGAGTTACTTTTCTTTGGACATTCGTTGTAGTGGGTAGAATGACTTGGGAATACATTTAAATTGTTCCTAATATTATTCAACAAAAAAGAACTTTTTTAAAATCATTTATGTCATTTTATAGGTTCAAATAGAAAGCAACACTACTGTTTATATGTGTGACAAATTTTAGGAAGATTGGTCGAGTAGTTTTTGATATATCGTGTCCAAGAGTTGTATTAATGTAAACTTCTTCGTGGAAGGTTTAGAACTGTCTTTATTTGAAATCAACTTTAAGGTATATACAAAATACAGGTGCCCGGAAATGACGTGTACAACGAAAGAGACACCAGTATCTTGACCAAAAATATGATGATTTAACTCAATTTATCTATATACAAAGTTGCTTAGCACAGCCGTTAGAGGGCTTTAAAAGTTCATGATGAATTAAAGATAAAACGCAAAACGAAAAATACGAATACCGCTGTTAAGTTTAAGTGACAAACTGTTTTTGTTTTTAAAATTAATTATAAGCAAAATCTTTGATCAACATTAAAGACAAATGACTGTATTCAAGAAAAGATTCAACAGATTGATCTTTAACTTCGTAGTTGCCAAATCTAAAATTTTTGAAAAGTTTATTTATCACACTGTGATGAATTTGCATCACCGTGTGCTAACAGGTAGAGTAGGTTTTTTAGGAGCTTTTAAGTCTATTTGCATTTCAACCGACTTGGTTAGATTCATATTAAGGTTTCATATTTTTATACTGAATACAATCAATTACCACTACATAGCCGTGATATTGTATAATGCGCTACCACATGAAATGAAAAGTATGGAATTTCGAACTTCTGCCAAGAATATGCTTCTGGAAAAGGTGTTTTATTCAGTCCAAGAATACTGCGATTGTTTATAATTTTAACCGACTCATTTTCTAAATGCAAGTTATTGTAATGTCTTTTTGACGTAATATTGTATCGTTTTGTACTTTATTTAAATAAATATGAAGCGGAAGATCCTAGTAAATAAATGAGCATATAAAAATAGTTGAGCAAAGGTGCAGTTATACAAAAATTTCTTTTATGGAAAATTATTTTTTATTTAAAAATAAAAAAAGTAATAAATATTATTTATACAATTTAAAATTATTGATAAAGTACTATTTACATAAGCAAAATCATAATATAATATAATAATAAATAATTTATAAGTTTCTAAAATAAATCACATTTTAATCCACTTCCTCAACAGTAGGCCCTCTATTTTGAAAGTTTCCAAAACCACCAGCTTGACTACCACAATTACCAGAAGGCATTTGACCACCTCCATTTCCACCATGCATTTTTGTCATAATTGGATTGCAAACCGAAGACAATTTCTTCTGCTTCTCTTCGTATTCCTCAACTTCAGCTAAAGTGTTACTATCCAACCACCTCAAACACTCCTCGCATTCTCTCCGAACGGCATTCTTATCAGATTCGTCTAATTTATCTCCAGCTTCATCAACGGCTTGTTTTAAACCGAACACATAACCTTCTAATTGATTTCGCGCTGATATTCTTTTCCTTTGCTTCTCGTCTTCTTCGCGGTATTTCTCAGCTTCGGATAACATTCTATCGATGTCTTGCTGCGATAATCTACCTTTATCGTTCTTGATGGTAATGTTACGACTCTTTCCGGAAGCGGTATCTTTAGCGTCGACGTTCAAAATGCCGTTGGCATCTAAATTGAACGTAACCTCAATTTTTGGAATTCCTCTAGGTGCCGGAGGGATACCGGTCAAGTCGAAGGTTCCCAAAAGATTGTTGTCTTTAGTCATAGCACGTTCGCCTTCAAATACTTGGATCGTTACTGCTGGTTGATTATCGGAATATGTAGTAAACGTTTGAGATTGTTTACAGGGAATTCTGCTATTGCGCTCGATAATTTTGGTCATAACACCACCGGCTGTTTCAATTCCCAATGACAGTGGAGTTACATCAACGAGAAGCACATCTTGAATTTTACTATCGGTTTCACCGCTGAGAACGGCTGCTTGGACAGCTGCGCCATAAGCAACCGCTTCATCTGGGTTAATTGATAAATTCAAAGCTTTGCCGCAAAAATAATTTTGTAGGAGAGATTGAATTTTTGGGATACGCGTTGAACCTCCCACCAATACAATATCGTGAATGGAACCTTTATCCATTTTGGCATCTTGCAAAGCTTTCTCGACCGGATGCAAAGTTCCTCGGAATAAATCCGAACACAATTCTTCAAATCTAGCTCGGGATATTTTGGTATAAAAATCAACACCTTCGTAAAGGGCATCTATCTCAATGGATGCTTCAGTGCTCGAAGAAAGTGTTCTTTTAGCTCGTTCAGCTGCCGTTCTTAAACGTCGAAGTGCGCGAGGATTACTTCTAAGATCCTTCTTGTATTTTCGTTTAAACTCCTCGGCTAAATGATTAACCAGCCTATTATCGAAGTCTTCTCCACCAAGATGAGTGTCACCGGCCGTTGCTCTTACTTCAAAGAGGGAGCCTTCATCTATTGTTAAAATTGAAACGTCGAAAGTACCTCCGCCAAGATCGAAAATTAAAACGTTTCTTTCTCCCTTCAGATTTTTATCTAAACCGTAAGCTAGAGCAGCGGCTGTTGGTTCATTAATAATTCTTAATACATTTAATCCAGCTATTGCGCCCGCATCTTTAGTGGCTTGACGTTGGGAGTCATTAAAGTACGCTGGAACAGTGATGACAGCATCTTTCACGGAACAACCCAAATACGCTTCGGCCGTTTCTTTCATTTTCGTTAAAACCATCGAACTAACTTCTTCCGGCGCAAATCTTTTCGATTCGCCCTTAAATTCAACTTGCATTTTCGGTTTTCCCCCATCATTAACAACTTTGAAAGGCCAATGTTTGATATCGTCTTGTATTTTTTGATCGTCGTATTTTCTTCCTATTAATCTCTTCGCATCGAAAATTGTGTTGATGGGATTTATCGCAACCTGATTCTTAGCCGCATCTCCAATTAAACGTTCTGTGTCTGTGAACGCCACATAACTTGGTGTTGTGCGATTACCTTGGTCGTTTGCAATAATTTCCACTTTTCCTTGTTGCCAAACTCCGACGCAGGAGTAGGTGGTTCCTAAGTCGATGCCGATTGCAGGTGCTTTTACCATTTTAATTATTTTTCTTGTACTTATAAATTAAATAAATTCGAATAATTTAATATTGTAGTTGAACTGTTTTTGGTATTCTGTCGTAAGTTCGCTTTGATTTGCTCGCTATCGTATTTGAAATACAACTGAATTGGCGCCGGGACAGTTCGCTTTTATACTCGTCCGATTGAGTTCGCGATGTTTCTCGAATATTCTCGAACGTTTCCAGAAAAATAATGCTATTCGGAGTTGCGAGAATCGAGAGTATTCTCGTTGTATTCTAGATTCTCGCTTATGTAATGGAAAGAAGTGGGAATTTTCTATAAATTTTTCCGATTTTACTTCAAAATTATTTTTAATTAGAAATTTATAATTTAAAATAATACGTTATCTGAACCACCGCTACCAGTCCATCGATTTCTCATTAATTATTGTTAAGCAATTCATTTTGGAAAGATGTGGATGTGCGGATTTTAATTGGTAATAACGAAGAATAAAATATCCCAAACGTATAACGAAAATGTGCGTTTTTTTCCAATATCCCAATAACATTATGGAAATTATTTCTGATATCGCGAATGAAAATCGTTTCATCCACATCACTGGACACAAATCTTTTAACAGATGAGAATAGTGTGAATAAAGGATTTACAAGGATTTTTTAAATTGAGAGTTTTTGAGCGACACTACAATGACAACAATGTTTGTTCAAATCACTAACAGTTGAACATAAATGAAACATTAATTTTGAAATCATTGTTTAATTAAACTTAATAAAATCGAAATGATTTTTTGGAATAATTTCCATTTCTTTTCATTTTTACCATTACATGAGCAAAAATCTAGAATATACCGCGCGAATAGTCTCGATCCACACAACCTTTGTTGAAAGCGTTCGAGAACGATCGAGAAACATCGTGAACTCAATCGGGTTTCATTTCAAATACGATAGTGAGCAAATCAAAGCGAACTACTAATTAAATTAAACAAACAATAGACAAATGGAAAAGTATTACAAATACGTTTTTATCATAAAATTGACTTTACAATTAATTTGGCAACAGCAATACCCCAAAATTTCTCCTCAAATTCTATTTCTTCTACAAATAGGCCACAAGGTGTCCACACAATAAAATGACACAATTTTGCCCTCGTTATGGCAAGTTGACCTTGAACTTGCTAGTAATAATTGTGATTTCTATCCTTCATTTTGTTCTGTTATACTGTGGTTTGTGGTGTCAATTTGCTTGCTGTGTAACGACATTTTACCTCAATTATTTCTTTACTATTTATTATGCCATCTGGTGAGGCACCTAAATACGGATGATCCTGGTAAATAAAAATACGTCAGCAACAAGTTGGTCATTTTAGAATTTGTAAATTGTGGATACAATAGATTATTTATAAATTTATTGGGATTTGTTGATTTAGGCATTTTGCAAACACGTCCAAAATTTGAAGCAGTTTTCTTCGAATTTGAATCCATAATTCATTTCTATACTGCTCTCCAGTTTGCTTTTCAATTTCAGTTATTTCTGCTGTTGTTCTAACAAGTGACTATAAATATGTTCCCTTTTCTTCTTCAGTGCACTCTATCAGTTCTTCTTCATCTTCAATAAAACTATATTTTTTCTCCGCTTTTTTATTATGGGATACTGACAATGTTTCGTAGCTGCCACCAATTTTCTTTTGCGCACTCCTTCAGCATTACACTTCATCTCGTATGAATTTTTCAATGCAAAATTGATACGTTTCCACCCCCATTTTTTAGTACAAGGCTGCTGGCATGTTGAATAAGCCAGCTACTTCTATGTCGTCTAATATTCCACACTCCTTCATTTTGTCTACATACATGAATTCATTTTCCTTCGAACCGTGACAAAAATAAGAATCATTTGTCCAAAACATGATGTGGGGTGTTCCTAATATTAAACGTGAGTGAATCTATTTGATTTTGTAGGGAGAGATCTTGTTTTCTATGATAATTTATCGCTGATTTAATGAGCTATCTATTCTGACTCATTCAATATATTTTTTTTAATATGTTGCATATGCCTGGGCTAGCCACCTTGTCTTTGGATCTCATTCTTTTATTAGCTATGTCTTCAATTTGGTCCAATAATTCCTTAGCAAATGGTGAGTGCATTCAATTTTTTTTATAACGACATTAGCACCCTAAGGTTTGCTTCTCAACTTTTTATATACATTGCTATCTCCATCACCGATTATGGTTACACATTTTAGTTTGTGCATTTATATACTTACTTTTAAATTCTTCCAATGATGTCGGACTCCATTGGACTGGATGTTCCTGTTCAATTTTTAGCATTTAAACCTTTATTAGAACACCTTGCGCATATGGGACAATATTTATTTCTGCAAGCAATGAATAAAATCTTGCCTGTTCTTGCTCCAATTATACAGCTGTAAAATTATCAAAAAATTGGATGTTAGTTTAAACCTTCTTTTAAACCACGATGTGAGAAAAGGTGAGATTTGAGGCTTTGAGGTGTAACAGAATAATACTTAGTACTCCAGATAATGCATCATATCGGCTTTTATACGATGTTTTAGACCAGGCACCATTAACAACCACGCTAATAAAAGCATTTCCATCAGAGTCTACATCACCCAATTCTAAAGCCAATTTATTTTCAACTTTCCAACTTCTTGCATTGTATGCAACATTTGTTTATAAATACAGTCTGATATAAGGTCGTTATACTGTACGTATTGTCAATATGATTTGACTAATATAATAAACACAAAAACATTTTACACAATTTTCGTTATGAGAACATTACACATTGATACGAGATGCGCGTAAACTCGTTCATACACTCGGGATTCATCAACCTCCTATTATACTCTTCCACATCCAGATCGGTTTTTATGACAGTCATAAATAAAAGCCGGGGTGATTTTTGCCCGCTCGAGTACCTGAAAAGATTTATAACAGTCAGACAAAGGCAAGGTCGAACTTTTAAACTAAAATTTAATAAAAACCAAAGTTTAGTTATATAACTAAAATTTAATTATAAAAACTAGTATAAAAGTCTTAGAAAAATGTATTACTTTTAGGAATGTCTCAATAATCTAATTATCATCCGCCCTTTTTTGTAATTAGACAATGCATGCCTTCTCAAAACATTTCTTAGAAAAAATATGTACTTAATATTAGAAATACAACAAATAAGAGAATAATGAGTATTCATATATCACCCTATTATTTTTCTACAATTTGCAAGTAACGTGTTCTTTAATGCGGCCCTGAGTGAAGAATCCCAGCATTCTACAATGGGAAACTACCTATTGCAACCCCATCTTTGTTCATTTTACAACTACAGTAGGAAAGTGACAGAGTCATAAAAACCGATCGCCGTGTGGAAGACTATAGAGTTGTTGTAGTGAAAATATTAGCTGTTCCAGATTGCTTAGGTATAATAAGTATATATTTGTGATATGGAACTGAAAATAGAAAAACTATGGTCAACTAGACATTTTGGCAGCCCAACCTATTTTTAGTTATAACTTCGTAATGCTGTATCCCATAATTTTGATTTTCTAGAACAATCACTAGAACAACCCAGAACAACAAAGAAAATCTGATTTTTCAAAAAATGGGGGGTTAGTAAAAAACCGCTTTGGAACAATGTAGAACAACTCTAGAACAATCTAGAACAACAATAAAAAATTAAAAATCAAAAAATGGGGGGTTAACTTCCCGCACTGCATAAAAACATTAAATAGTAGAGGGACCAGAACCCTGAGAAAAAAATGGAAATCTAATAAAATATCCGAAACAATCAACTTATAAATAAAATAATTACATCTTCTTATTTAAAATACATATACATAAGAGACATTACAGTAGCTAATTCATGTAAATTACATCCACAAGTTTCACATTTACAGATATGTCCTTCAGGTATAACACTTTCAATTTTTTCATAATCCAAACTATTCGATTCAACACTAACATTTCCATCGATTCTACTACTTTTATCTTCTTTACATTGCATAGATTTCGAGCAAGTTTTCGATTTAATAAGCGATGAACGACTCATTCTTCCCGTAAGCCTATTAGGTTGATGAACAGGAACAACCTTTTGATACCAAAACTTTCCACATTTTTTCGATGACGTCGACGGACTGCTATGAAAAGAACTTTGCGTTTTCGTAGATGATTTTGATGGAGATACAGAAATTATTTTTCTACTCGAAGTGGGGGAATGTATTTTAGGCGATCTTGGAGAATGTTTCGATTTCATTGTTTAAATAATCTTTTAATCACTTAAATTTTATTTCTAATAAAAAGTCTTTTGTAAATCTAAATTTACACAGTTTAAAAATGAAATAAAAAACCAATTTGATTGACTTATTTTTTTTTACGTCACATTTAAATTTGGCGCTTTTTCCTGTCAAAATACATTATGCGATTTTAATTTGTTATTTGCGCATGCGTAATGGAAACGTCAGATTTGAAATGTTTTGTATTAGTATGTAGTAAGTTTTTTTCGTATTATTCACATTTGGTTTACGTAAATTTCTAAACAGGTTTATTTTTTATGTATTTGATGTAAGTGTTTTGAATCGATGATGATTCTGTTTCGATTAAATAACGATATGTAAAAAAAATGTAATCTAACCTCAAATTATTTTTATTTAAGATTATAAATATTATGGATACGTGCAGTTCGAACGCGTCTTCAGTAACTTCTTTAGATTTAGAATCGGAACATGAAGATGTGCCTGAAAAACCCTTATCGCCCGTTTTAAGTAAAAGTAAAACTAAAAACAGACGGTTTGTTCGTAAACAATCAAGTAAACAGCCGTTTAAGACGAATCTAGATGTGAAATTTAGGGATGGAGGTGATACACCATATCCAAATGCTTCAATTAAACAATTTAGAATAGAGGAAATGAATGAACAACAAAGGAAACAATATTACAATATGTTGTGTGATAAAAATGTTTACCGAGAAAATGTAAATGAAATAAGGGACGAGGATTCTTGTAGACAAATATTTCCTGTGAGAGAAAAGATCGTTAAGCAAACACATAATGAAAGTAGGGAAACGGTGATTAATTACAGAGAAAATTCTAAAAGTGTTAAATTTTGTACTGCTAGTGGAAAAGGAATTAATATTTCAGATGAATCTTTACAAAAAGGGAGTGAAATTTTCGAGGATATCTTAGGTGCAGAAAATGAAGGTTATCATGGTAAGTCATTTTCAATCAAATTCGTTTACTAAAAATGTGGAAAAATTCAAGAATCATCATGTGGCTTAAAAAACGACGATTTTTTTTTAATAAATGCGAAGAAACATTCGGATTTAGCCCCACATCTCCCAAGACAGCCAAACCCGAATGATTCTAGAGTTACAAGGTTTATACCTGTTAATTAGTTTTAATTGAATTTAACTTTATTTAATTAAAACACTAAATTATTACAATGTCAAACAATAACTTATTGTAAAAGATCCATAATATTAGAGGTTTAATTAAATTTAGGAGATAAGTAATATAAAATAGACCTCTTGACCTCTAAAGTTTTTTAATAATTAACTTTATTTAGGGGAGACCGTTTGTTTCTTTGAATTATGTGTCCGATATTATCCAATCTGGAGGTTGAAGGTACAGAAATTATAGAACCACGTCCTGTGGTGTGTTTTGAACCAGTTTTGTTGACGCTAATGAGGCTTCGTACAAGTTCCAATCTAAAATCCAACTGAGAAATTGGCTTGTCATTATACAGGGTGATTCACGTAAGAACCGACACAGAGCAGGGACATGTAGAGGACAATAAATTAAGATGATTTAACGCAACTTATCTCTATACTAACAAGGGAAGTATCAGAACTGTCCCTCACCGATTTTGTTGAAATTTGGTACAGCGATAGTATGGCCAAAAATAAGGTTTACGTATTTTTTTATACGTGCTAATAAAGCCCCTGGGGCGAGTTATAAGGGTTGGAAATCGGGGCGAAATATATATATTCGCTTATAGGCTGAAAACGAAAATAGCTATCGAAATGTGGTAAATGTAAACTGATATTCATTTTCAAAGAGCTTTCCATTGATATATCACACATATATCTGAGGGCTTCAGGGGGTAAACTACCCCTAGTTTTTTGGAATATTTTAAAAACTACCCTGTCGATTTTGGCGATATTATGTGTCCTTATAGTACGTTTAAAAATATTAATGACGTGTTTTTTCTTATTTGCCTCTGACCATCCCCTGCAAAGTTACGGGGTATGATAGATAACCCCTTTCCTTAAGAATAATGTGATAAACTGTTACACTTTTGAACAATATTTTGAAGAAAACCAT